CTGTGCTTGTACCTTCTGATATTCTAGAATACATGGGCCCAGAGCACTAGCTTATTGGAAGCTTTATATGTAGCCTATCAGATATCGTGATCATGCCAATTTACTGTCATTTAGTTCTACTACTATTCAATTGGCATTAATTTTGGTATACCCTAATTCATCACTTCGCTCTCTGGATCTCAGCCCTCCACCAACCAGAAAGTTTTCCTCTACTTCAACTCTCAAACAGGAAGGAAGATAAAAGATATTGCTCACTAACAAATACAACCACAACTTCCTGTTCTAAGGTCCAGAACAATATGCAAGAGCACCACTCTGTCTTAAAATATTACTAAGCACAATCAGTATCGCTCATGAAGACTCTCTTAAACCTAGACTTATGTCAGTCTAAGGCACTTCTTCTCAAAGCAGACTAGATCAAACTACACTTCATAAAACTGGGACTTTTACTCCTATCTGAAGCAATATTAATTCAGTAATCACTAGGTCCCTCTAGTGCACCCTCTTACCAAATGCCTTAAAATGAGGCCTGTCACCTGCACTAAAGCAAAAAAGGCTTGGCATTCAAAGAGTAACTGAGGTAACCTTGTCAAGAGGACCAAATGTTCATGGATTGGGTTAAGTCTGTTAGGCCATCAGCAAAGTTGCCTCAAAGGAAGTTAAAACAGGTCATCTACAGTCTGGAAGTGCTCTTTGAGGTACATTCCAGTTGTCTTTAAGTGACAGATGTGTTGACTCAACATCACGATCATCAGAACCCAATACTTCAAAAATATTACAAACATAACTGGTAGGTAGTATTGACGCTTTTGCCCTATTATCCACGCAAGCACAATCAGTGTACCATGCAGAATCCTAGAAGTAAGGACTGGGGGCATGCTCCTGAGGTTAACAGCTTGCTTTGACACTGATTATGCTGGGCTCAAAGATAAAGGACAGTTCCAGAGCAGAGGAGTGGTAAGAAAGCAAAACTGTTCTGGAAGATGGAACTTTCCCTAGTGTTTCAAGCTGCTAGAACAGCTGGATGACTAAATATTCTCTGACAAGACCTTCTATGGCAAAGACAAATACTATCTAACCTACTGTTGCCAATTTCTACAATTTTATCAGACATTTCTGAATATTTAAAACACCAGCTTTTGAAAGCAAGCGATCACAGCTTTCATTTCAAATAAGGAGTAAATTTCTAGCTCTATAGGGCTACAGGGAAAAATCTTGAAAACTTGACATGAGTTTATCCTAAAGTCTCAGAAATTAGAAGATAAACTTAAAATACAACTAGAATGTACTGCCTTAAATATCTTGCAATTTGGGAAGCCAAACTTATATTTTTAGGTGCTTGGGGATGACAACAGTACCATGTAAAAGCTGTCTTCTATGTTTTTGCACTATTTTTGATGAACGTCATGGAGAAGACACTTCACATCTCTGTCCTCTGGCCCTGGAAACTCTTACGTTGGATAAGCAGAGCTACTACTGCCAGTTCTTCCTTCTACTTTCCACATCCCAGCTTCCTCACAATGGACAGCTGGCTGGCCAAGCCCAGGGAAAGAGCGTTTTCTCATACAACACATGACCACCTTCTTCAAAGGAACCATCAACTCCCTGTTCATTAAAGGATCCCATCATAAAAAAACTGCACTTTATTAAACTTTGCTTTGGACTTGACCAGTGAGCCTCATTAAAACCTCCTCTCTACTCCCCAAAATTTATCTTGTGACAATGCTTCTCATTATTTCATATAATCTGAGTACAATTATTATAAAAAGGTTTTACAACAGCAATCATATGGAATAAGCTTCTTTTAATTAACCACTTTAAACAAGGCTTTATTATCATATTAACTCAAACAGACCCTGATTACAAGATGATCTCCCAATAATTAGATTCTGTGTATGGAAAATTTATAAGTGTGTTAAAATTTTCCAGAACTTGTGATAGAGGTGATCTCTTTTATTAGACCAACTAGATTTTTGAAAAAAAAAAATCAATCAATCAATCTAGTTGTCCTGATAAAAGGTATCACCTCTACCACAAGTTCTGATTCCTTTTGCCTCTAGACCAATACGGCTACAACCTGGATACCTTATAATTTTTCAGGTACAGAATCTAATCATTGAAGACTTGCCTTGTATTTGTCCCCTACCACTGCTATAGCAGGGAAAATAAATCTGTTGGGTCAGCTAGCCCCTTTGCTGTCTGCTTTCCCCTAGCAGATTCTTAACCCTCTCTTTATTGTCAGATCCTGCACATCAAAGTGAGGCACAAATTTGAAAACAGTTACCTTGAAATTAAACATGGCTGTAGCAATTTGCCTGAAATACCCCTGCACTTAGCTCATCCAGAGTTGATGCATGTTACCTTTTTTTTTTTTTTTTTTGGAACTGCTACAAGTTTTAGCACAGGAACTCCATAAACACACTTTTCAGCAGCACTTGGGAACCTACATATATGTAGTAAAAACTTTTACTTTTTAAATAAAATTTTGTTTCCAGGGCCAAATCAGTTCTGAATTAAGTTCCAAATTTTGAATAAGCAGCGCTCAATCGTTCAAGTCTGTGTGGTGCTACCACCAGCAAGTATCCTACCTCCCAGACACATCAGTCTGGGGCTTTAGACAAACCCAAATCCATGGCAGGCATTCTATGTACAAGCCCCAAGCCCAGAGGTCTTGGAGTTCAGATGCCCCCTAGTCTCACTTGCCCTTAACCAACAGGCTGAAGGAGCAACCTAGAGATAAAGCCCAAAAGCAATCCACCATCACCATGAATTGTGCAGCTGAGATCCTCCCACTGGCAGACTACAGTAGATTCCCACAGGGGTGCCCACCTACAGTGCAATGGACAGGTCTCTACCCTCAGTTACACCAAGTCATTAAAGACTAAGAAGGGGATCTCCCTTGCCAGGTACATAAAGCCACATGGGCAGAAAGCATCATCATGGCATCTCTCCTGCCAGGTAAGTATGGTACAAACTCCCACCCCCCCCCACCATCTCAGGCCAAAGTTGTCAAATCAGTTCTGGATTTTATTGACTAAGCAGAGCTCAGTCATTAAGCCCAAGTGGTAATACCACCAAAAAGTATCCTCCCTCCCAGACTTCAAGCCTAGGGCTTCAGATACTGTCAAATTCATGGCAGGCATCCGACATGCAGGCCCCAAGCCCAGAGGCCTTGGAGTCTGCATGTCCCCAAATCTCACCTGCTCTCAGCCAAAAGGCCAAAGGAGCAAGCTAGGGAAAAATCCCCCATCTCCATAAAAATAAAGCATGTAGCCAAGATTTACATACTAGGAGGCTATAGTAAACTCTTATTGGAGGGCCTGCCCTTAGTACATTGGACAAGTCTCCACCCTTAACTACACAATGACATTTAAAGTGATCTTGGCTTGGTGATCAGTGATCACAGTATCTCCCCCGCCAGAACAGGTACTACGATGGATCTGAGCTAAAAGGCCAAGAAGCAATATGATACAAACTTTTTTTTTATTTTTTTTTTTGTTTTGTTTTGTTTATTGCACTGCTCCTGGAAGCACTGCTATACCAGGCCGATGCATGGAGGGGATGGAGCAAGCTCCAATTCCACCTCCCAACACCAAAAATCTACTCAATATAGACCTCCCGTGGAGAACATATTAGGGACAACCACCTGCCCTGGGGAGCCTGCCTACGTGGTCACAGTGCAGTTAATCTATTAATCAGGACAGTTAATCTGAATATGATACAAACTATGTATGATATTAGTCCAAAAAGAAAGGCTCATGATTTACCACATAATTAATAGGGCTGTGCCCCACCAAAATCTACAGCTTTTAAGCCACGGTGACCCCACAGCTCAGCACTGCTCAGTATGTGTGTGTACTCCAGATACCCCTACAAATAATCCATGTGCTAATTAACACCCCTCCCCACCCCCACTCATGACTGGAACCAGGTGTTCTTATCACAAATCCTGGGATCCTCCAAAAATGTCTATGTAGAAGAGGCAGAGAGCAACCTGGTCTGGCTTTACCTCATGGAGGGTGGGGCAATGCTAAGCATATGCAACAGGCTGAGAGAGGGAGGCAATAGAGTGATTCTGGGTGAACTGTCTGGGGTCTAATTTCTTGATGTTTGCTAGGCATTTAAGACTTGTAAAGAAACAAAGCTCCACGGAAATTGGAAAAAGGCACATCTCAGCTATAAAAGTGAAGAATAAGTCAAAACATATGCAATGTCATGGCTCACCATGACTTTGGAAAAGAATCAGTGGTGAGGGGGACTGCATTTAATGGGCACTACAATACATCTTATTCTGATGGGCTGCACTAACCTATTCTTTTGGTTAAGATGGGGTGGGGGAGCTTCAGGGCTGGCTCTGGTCATCCCAGTGCTGGCTTGGTATTACAGTCCCTCCAGGCCCAGTGTCAGTTCCTTCCTAGGGGAGCAACTTCCTGGGTTGTTTGGTTTTTTTTGTTAAGGGCTACACAAAAGGGTTCCCATCAGTATGTTTGCCTAATGTGGCCCGTGTGTTTTACGGTCATGCTCATTTGGCTGCATTTAATCAACTTAATAGTTGATTTCCATTGCTGAACACATGCTGCTTTTGGCAGCAGTTTAAGGATAAACAATATATTTAGTAGGATTTCTTTGTATGCGATTGTAAGACCAGTGCCTTCCCCTCCCCCCCCACCAATTGGGGGGAACCTTGTCTTGTATTTGAGCAAATACAGTAGTTTCAGACAAAAATATAATTATTCTCCCTTATTCAAATCCCTCCCTCTTCTATTATTTAAGTATTAAACTACTTTGAAGGCAGCTTGTATAGGATCTTTATAAAACAGGCTACACTTAATTTTAAATCGCAGAGAATTGCACATTGCCTAATTGTAGGCCAAGGATAGTATGAACAACTAATAGCTAAATCAATTATTTTAAGAAACTTTTATATAAACCATCACACGGCAAAAGCTGCTCTTACATCTGAGATGTTTGGATCTCTGGGTTTATTTGCTGGGGCTTACCTGGTGAGGTTAGGGACCATGTCTTGCCCACTGCCATGTTCTTTCTCCCATTGCTCCAGCAAAGCAGTAAGCTCAGCCTTGGAGTCCACATGACCAGATCCTGAAGTCATGGCTTAGCATAAGGAGAGTGGAGGAGAAGGAAAAACAAAACAAAACAAAACACATTGATTACTAAATTGTCCAACTCAACTAATAATCAGGAATTTAAATCCATTTGGTAGCACAAGTAAATAGTCACTGATGAGGAAAAGTGGGGGCCAAGCCATCAAGTTCTGAAAAATTTAAGTAGGATCTAGTTTTTATCCTTTAGGTATACACACAAATGAAAATCTACTTTGCACAACCAAATGCAGACCGATACATGAAAATCTCTGGTGACAACAGAAGTACATGTCTAGCCACAAATCTATTAAAAGCAAGCTTTCCGCTGGTCAACATACACAGACAGATCTCATCCCCTTACTGTTGCTCAGAAGCCTACCGAGAAAACAGAAAGCAGCAAGATTCTAATCAGTATCATTCCTACTATTCAGCCCCCTCTGCTGTAGTGGAAGCAAAAAGAATCACTTGTTGCCATGAGGAAAAATTCAAAGTTGTAGCAGAGAGGGATGTTTGACAGACACTCACAGTGAAAGAAGAACCCAGAGAAGCAGATAAGGAGAGGGATGCCTCTGCCACTCTATCCCTTCAAACATTCCAAGAACAGTCAGGTGGGTCTGGTGAGAAAGGGAAGAGATATAGGAAAACACTTTCTCTTCTCTAACAGCTTCATGAGAGAGAATGCAAAGCAATAACTTCAAGCTTATCAGACATCTACTGCCAGTTAGCAGCTAATACAGAAGATCTACATTCCTGCCCAGCCTCCAAACAAGCTCCATGTACAATGTTGAGCTTGTTTTAAAACATGATGCTGTTTCTGGTGGCTCAGATCAATGGTAGTCCCTGTTCTTATCAACTTTCAATCTTATGTGCTGGCCACTACCTAATGGGCATCAAATCTTTCAAGTCTAGTAAAAGCATACTAGGAACTCTGATGGTTTTGAACTCTGGGTATAGTTCAGCCAGTATGCTGCTCTACTCTTTTCCCCTTACTTTTCAACTTGGCAAAGATGGGCTGCTGATAAGGCTGACTACAGTCTGATGTGGCCTGGCTACATGGCACTAAGCAGATCCAGAGAGACTGTACCTAGAACTAATCTACAGTGATGATTATAATCAAGTGTGGTTTTGGAGAATAACAGCAAAGCAAGGGGAATGCAAAAGATATTCCTTCTTCTCCAAAAATAAATCAAGATTTCTACCATTTAAATAGTGGTGACAATCTGGCAGGTAATAAGTAGGGACTTAAATTCATGATTTTGTGATTTTTGTGGAAACCACAAATTTGGTAGGTTCCTCATGAAAAACCCCAGTCCCCATGAAAAAGCACAAGGACCACAAAAAAGCAGGAAGATTGGGTGGAGGGGAATAAAAAGGGAGTTGCAAACAGAGATGGGAAACCCAGGTGTCCCAAAGCACACAGAGGGGAAGGAAAGTGGAGGCAGGGGGGATTTCACAGTGCAGCATGGTGCATGCCCCCCCCCATGCTTCTGATTAGCCAAAGGGCCCTGGAAGTCCCACCCCTCCCCAGAAATTGACAAATAGCCACCTATCAATCTTGTGGGGGGAGGGGGGAGCCCTCCCATGCCTCTGATTGACATGGGGGGGCAGAAGTCCTGCCTGTCCCTGGAGATTGATAGGTGGCCACCTGTCAATCCCCAGGGAGGGGCAGGACTTTCAGTACCCATCAGCCACAGGTGTGGGGGAGCCCACCATACTTCACCATGAAAACAGTGCCCAATGCCATGCTGGGACAACAAAATCTGGAGGCAGCCTCTGTGAATTAGGTAGGTCCCTAGTAATAGGTGTCAATGTACACCTGCTTTCTAATTAAGCCAGAATCAACTTTGCAAAACAGTTTACAATGCAGACACGCTAAAAAACAGATACAAAAAGACCTTATCCCTCTTCCTGATGTATGTTTTGCAGGAAGTCAACTGAAGGGAGTAATATATAGAACATAGCTTAATATGCATTACAAATGATACATTTATACGCTGATGCTATGGCCGAGTATCAGCATCTTAAATTAAATAGAACATTGCACACCACAAACCGTCTTAGAACTATTCTTGTGAAAAGAGAGTGAATGAAGAACTTTTTATTCCTTATGATTCATGTCCCATAGGCCCTCTTGAGCTTAATGTATTTGGACTGGTTAGACAAGGCAACAAACAAAAGCACACCATTTGCACATGAAAATGGTGGGAATCTCAGGAATACCAAAGACCCAAAGAAAGTTGTGTGTTTATAGATCTACTATAAGACCCCCAATCTAAACAGCATCACTGTGAAAAGTATTGAACAATATTAGCATGCACTAATCAATGTCCTAAGCAATCATAAAGGACACAACACAAATGTGGAAGAGACCAAATGACCCACTTAAGCTTTCTTAGTTATTCCTCTTAGTTATTCCACTTAGTTTTTATCCAATCCACAACTATACTGGGAGGCTTGGGTGATTCTGGATGCATTACACTCATGCAAATGTGCAAAATACTTTCAAGGAAAAAGCTACCTGAATCCAGATACCTGAAGTCTCTCTTTCTCCTTTTACAGCTGTTATTGTCTGCATTCTGAAGAGACTGCTGACCCAAAGCCATGGAAGTTTTTTTTTAATAAAAATGTAGAGGTGCACCAATACCTCTGGTCTGATATCAGATATAAAGAAAATTGTCTGCATCAGAAATCAGCCTGATGTGGCCGATAATTGGCACATGCCTGCACACAGCCACAGAGCAGCACATAGGCAGCGAGGAGCACCACCCAGCAGCTTGAAGACCTGCATGCAGCTGGCAAGTCTGGTGTGGGGGAAGGGGAAGGGGGAGAGAGAAGAAGGGTGGGGGGAAATGGGAGGGAAGGGGAAAATGGAGGGGGCAGATCAAGGCCCCCATGGTGAGGGAGGAGTGGGGCTGAGGCAGGGGCTAACCAGCCAGGGTGGGGTGCGGAGGGTGGGGTGCAGGACAGAGCTATGGTTCATCCAGGGAAGGAGGGGAGTGGCTCTCACCACTGCACGCTGCTCAGCAGCTGTTGGTCCAGTGCTCACCCACTCGTCCAGCGGCTCCTGCTGCTGCTGCTGGCACTCATCTATGAGGGCATGGCAGGGGCAAGTGCCCCCAGATCTGCACGGAGTAGACTGGGGCCAGGGCTGCGCCAAGCTCTTCCCAGCTGGGCAGGGCTGCACTGGGAGGGGGGTTGGGGGGGACTATGGTGAATTGTGGGGTAGCTGTAGCCTCCCCCCCGC